ACAGAAATTTGATAAATTTTTTGATAATTACACTGCATGTTTGTGAGCCATTACTTTGTATAGCTACAAATTTTAATGAAACAATTCTCTTAATATCGTATATTTATATTTCACCTTTGTGAAAATGTAAAATCAAATTTAAGAACGTATATTCTCTTTCACCACTCAACCGGGAAAATGAGAAGTAGGAAAATGAAAGTCAACGTATAAAGCACCGTTACAGCTTTAAGTGAGTATCGCAGCTCTTTAACCCTTCTTTGTAACAGGCTGTACAACTAAGAACTATTTACATCGACACGCTCGACATGCAATCATCCTAATGGAATGGCACGTGAAGTTTAAAGGAACAAGGGTGCCTTGGCCGGCTTCCCGACTTTCCTGTTTGCGCCTTTAACACGGAAGGATGCGTCTGCAGGGGACTATTTGCATGGACTGATTGCAGTTTCAATTAGGAGAGAGCGACGTAACTTTTTCGCGAGTTACAAAGGCGCCACGGCGGAAAAGAAAACGAACGGACGGAGAAAAGACGGAGAAGGAGGGAGGAAAGAAACGAAAAGGACGGAAGGAGTTTGTTGCCGACAATATCCCATTGTCGACAAATACAATGGAGCCAGCGATCCTTCGACTTCGAGCGCGACTATTTTTGCGCTGATGTAAAATGAACCAATCCGATAATTAACGAACGGCTAGGCAATGCGTGTGAAAAATCTCGCCTGTCGTGCGCGAACGGATACGGTTATTTTGAGCGAAACTATCAACTCGGTATTGCCAACAATTATGTTAATACGTCGATCTAAAAGAACGAGGTTGTAATTCGAAAAACAGTAGAAAACCGGGAACCATGTTAATAACAATCGAATGACTCACCAACCTCGATTCGAAGCCGACGTCTCCTCGTAACTGTTCTATTATACTCACTTATTGTTCGCTTATCGAACACTCATTTACGACTTATTCACCTCACGGATACTAATCGATAGGAGAAACGCGGTTAATTACGATTCCGTGCTAATCAACGTGCGGAATATATACCACGACCACACGTCACTTTACGTCGCGTCCCCTATGGTGCTGCCGCGAGACTTCGCTGCCGCGAAACTGCGGTATCGGCCTGAAATTGCAGCAAATGGTCGCGCACCTAATTCAAATTGCGCTTGTGCTCACGACTCCGGATCGGATAAATATATAGAACTCGAGACTCGTGCAATATGTAAACTTGGAACACGATAGTATGCCTTGGTGGTTTCTAAACGTAAACAACCTTTTTCCTATTCATTAAGAAAAATTTCCCGAATTATCTTTATCCACTATATGATTACAACGTTACTTTACAAGTATAAAATTATATTATTAAATTAAAGGATCATTGATACATATGTAAACAGCTTTGATTATCGAGATATTGTGATATATCCATTTTGTGTATTCTTTCCGCTAAAGTTTATAAATTGTTCATGATTGTCTTAGTATTTGACAATTGTTTATTAAAATATCGAACCTTGTCACGTCGAGCCAGGAAACACAAATTTCTTCTAATCTTCTTTTATTTTTAATAATATCAACCTTTTACGTTAAGCGTTATTAACACTATGCCGTCCGGGGACACCACGTTGGTGTCCCGCGAAAACTATCGCGCAAAGGCCGACGACACCACGTTGGTGTCGTGCGCAAAACTATCACGCAAAGGCCGGTGACAGCACTGTGGTGCCGTTTGTGTTCTGATTGTGTACTGTTGGTGTTCTGTTTGTGTTCTGTTTAAGTAACAATAAGTTACAGACATCATGATTCGATCGACAGACTTTCCGGTCAGCTAAAGCAACACCAGCTAATACAAATTTCCGAAACCGACAAACGAAAACGAAGAAAGTGCCATGTATGTTCCAAAAACAAAAAAAAGAAGGACAACAAATTTAATGTGTAAGTCTTGTGGAGTCGCGTTACATCTCGGAGATTGTTTTGCTTTCATATCATCTAAAAGAGAAATACTAAATACCCAATAAAATATTAATAAATAAATAAATATATAATACAAAAAAATGTTACATTCATTATATATATCCTCGAAATTTCATGAAAATAACGGGACAGGATTGAAAACTGATGAGAACTGACGATTTATGATCTCCCGAAAACCTCGAAAAACCGCCGGCGTCAAACAAAAAAATCCTGATGAAACGTGCGGACGGCAAAGTGTGAATAAATATAATAATCCAGTTTGTGAATTTGACGAAGCATGAATTGGATCTTGAAATGAAATCCACTCGCCGTACAAGTAACCAAGCTCTTATCAAGTCGTGAATCACCCGCGCCCACTAACAAGACCCAAAAATTTCATAAAACGGAACGTGTCGTTCGCCAGCTTCCCCTAAATCACGACCGGCGGCAAAAAGCGCCGACGACGCTGCGCGTTCCAACGGAAAATTAATTTGTCTATATAAAACGGTGAGAAGAAACGCGTCGAGACACGCGAACGACGGGGACGAAGAGGAATAGCCCGCGGCAAAACCGATCCGCTGCCGCTTTTTGTGCCACGTCGCGCGATGTCGGAATCAATTTTAAAGGGGATCGCGATCGAGAGCCGAGCTACGACCATCTATTTTTATGGTTTACCTATAATCCTATGATACGAAATGAAGCGTCCCGACGCGCTATTAAATTATATGAAAGCTATGTACGTAACGTAATCTGGAACGGTAAGTTAATTGTTCATCATATTTTGCGCTCAGCGTAATCTAATCCGTATAAAATATAGACTTCTGTCAATATTCCATGAATATTCTTTAAATGTTTAATGTGCTACTTCATTCTAATGCAGTTTCGAAATAACTCCTACAATAACAATTGTGATTTCTTCCCATCTTCTCGAACAGTAATATCGACGAAATCCAATGTGATAAAGAACCGATACGAAAACCATTTCTACCGTTCTCCATTTAAATTCATTTTCAGCAAGTTAAAATCTCACGTAAAATTTGCGAAAAATCGAATGTATTTCCCTGACTCAGAAATTTCGTTCAACGAATTCTGCTCGTTGTGACAGGGAAGAAAATGTGGAAAACCGCGAACTAAAAAAAGGAATTAGAAAAAACTCAACGAGAGAATTCGGGCTGCCTCCTTCGCTTTTATTCGCGTAGATACTTTTACATCCTGGGAATTAGGGAAGGAGTAAAACAGGCCGACCCGTATAATTCGAAGCGCGCGATCCTACCATCTCGCGATGACGATATATAAACTGCGCGCGTGTACCGATGTGTATCACTCGAAATTGAATTTCGAGATATGAACGCGGTACTCCCATGTCCAATTCTCGACACACGCACACTTTGCCACGGCCACGTACGCGCGCAAACGTATGCACACACGTGGGCGCGTAAACGTGTGCATGCACAATCGATATTCTTCGACCTACTTACGAGAAAGAGCACAGGAAGCAGAGCACATATGTGACGGAAAGACGTTATATACCGGTATCTCTCGAGTTATAATGATCCGTAGGACACTACATAACGGGTCAATGCTTCCAGCGTGAGCGCCACTACGTGCTGTTGCTCGCGAAAATGTTCCAAGGAATCACACGCTCCATGCCGGACGTGTGTGCGTGTGTAAATAACGTGTGGCAAATATCCTGCCGATGTTGCGGAGTAGGCCGACAGTCAATTAACCGAAAAACCGTCGATACAGCCTTTGCGCCAGTTTTTCCTCTTTTCCCAATTTAACGAACTCGCGTAAATTGCATGTCGATTGAAATAGGAACTATCTAATGCCGCGTTAGCTTTACACGAAAGTGCATTACCTAAAGTTGATAATAAGAAAAAAAATATTAAAACAAATAATAAACTATCAGCGAGCAGAAATAATACTCATACCTACGTGTTACAATATTTCATCGTGGTATATTTATATATCATGCAATAATATTTAAAAAATTTATATGAAAATTATATCGTCGAGCAAAAGGAAAAAGATCGTGTTATTTTAAGCGTCAATATGGAAGCGAGCGTAGATTGTATCGTCACTTGATAACGACCGATTATCCAATGTTTGTCTACGCCATACGCGAATCGGAGCATTCGCATTCTCGTAATCTTTAATGTCGTACCGCCGATTGCACCGACAACGACTGAACCGATCCGTTTCGTACAATTCTGGAATACGCGCGAAGCATGCGAATGCGCGCTATGTGTCCGCTTACACGTCCACGAATATGGCATTCCAATAGCTTGGGTAAGCGGCGTTAATTAGCCGGAAACGTGGAGGAAACGGAATCCGGAGACTGCCACGCACGTCTGAATTTTTGCGAAATTGCGGAGGACGCGCTTAATCGGAATTTCCGCGCGCGCCGTGACTATCGGTATGTGCGATTGTAAATGTAAAGTTACTCCCTCTCTCTCGTAATTTCGTTGATCTTAAAATACAGACTATATATACAACATAGAACCAAGCGAAAACGATGTTTTAAACTTATGTTTGTTAATTCTTGTGTTTTCATCTTTGCGCAGATACTAATTCAGTTGAGCTTCAATAACTTGAGTCGAAATTTTCATTCTACATTAACTCTGTAAACTCTGTTTTGTTAAATTTGAAGAGTCGACGTATGGAAAATCTTGAAGCATAACGTTAAATAGACAATTATTTTTTTATGCTAAACATGGTTACTTACTACTTACTCTTTTCCATGTTAAAAAGTAAAGAATTTATTCAAAAACTACATGATATTCTATATTATCTCAGTATTCTATTTACATTTAAATATTATTATTAATTTTTCAATAAGCAACATATTAATTCGATAAAACTCAGAAATTTTGAAATTTCATTAAGACATGGAGATTCAGAAAAGTCAAAAAAGAGCTGTAGATGCAAAGATCGTTATTGTTGTAGAAATACAAATAATATCACTCGCGAAACTCGCACTAAATTCTAAATCCCGACTCGAGTATCGTCTTAGTCTCGCTAAGTTTGTTCAATGCTCTGAGTAATAAATGATTTATAAAACATACCTCGAAATATATACACAGTAATACTGCCCCTCCGCGTTCTGGCTTCTCTATCCAGCATCATGTTCCAGACTGCTCGTCGTAGCATCCCGGGTACTCACTCGTTCGTGGCACTGACACTCGCGACACACACGATTCGAGCGGAGAAATGCGTGTTAATAGACGCGATACCGACGAGAGCACGAAATACTTTAATCTCTTCGCTACTGAGGACTACTGTAGTCGCTCGCTCGCGAAATGCATTCTGGGTAACATATTCTAACGGCGTTTTCGATTTGCTCAACTCGGGCAGCGTTCCGCTAATCTCAACAGTATTGCAAACTATAGTATACGTAACTCGAACTATTGCAAACATTATTGGAACGCGCCTGAGCCGGAACGTGCAAATCGAATCGATCAGCAAATCGAAAACATCATGAGAATTTAATCGCCCAGCCCGAAACAATCGCAGTATTAAAATTATTTTACTCATGAAGATGCTGTATATTAGATGATATAACATAAATACTGCGCGTAACTTTGTTTACACTATTAGATTCCGCTTGGAAACTCGTGCTATATAGTCATTTTTCGGCCGTACACTGCCGTAGCGAAAAGAATAAGAAACTATGGAACTAACAATAACTAACGCACCGACGCACGTATTTCACGGTGTGCGCGTCTCCCGTCGATTCAAAACATAGCGAGAGTAGCAAAACAATCGGCAAAGCGATAAGCTTACCCCCGCAACCTCCTATTCGCCCTTGGCGCCCGCCGAGGAAGGACGCCCGCATTCGATGAACGCACGATCAACAATAGACGCTATCAAAACATTCCTTCGACCTTCACAAAGTCATTCCCGTGCATCACATATTTTTACGTGACCGAGTGTTACGCTACGTCTCAAGCCGCCGAACGACGTACATACTACGACGTGCATCGACAAGTTTGATGTATAACTCGAGAGATAAAATCTGTACGTTACAACTTACGCCCCCGTCGGACACGGAGAATTATAGAACTACGACTCGCACTTTTCAACTGCACTACCTGTACTCTCGTGCGATCTTGATTTCTCTGCCTATTTTCCATCGAATAGTGAATGCATACTCAATTAATGTACATGTCGAAAATATAAATATATATGTTTAGTTTTACGCGCGTTTTGTGTATGTATGGAATATAGAGTGTGTGTTCTAATTCAAAACATAACACCCGTGTACAAGTAGAACGTGTAAAGCTGAACAGGGAAGTCGTGTACTATTTTACAACTTTCGCAATAATACTTTATTCTAAGTACCGAGAATGCGACAGAGTGCAGTTAGAAAGAGCAGATTTCTAGTGGAACGACCGTTGGCCATCTTGTCGTCGCGATATGTTTGCTAAAAGCGCGGCACGCTTCCCGCGCAAAGTAATCGGGCTCTCGTCGGCGTCGCGTTAATTGACACGCGTTTTTCCGATGGGACGGTGTTTACGTGTGTCAGAGCTAGTGTCCGGAATGCCATGACGAAGCAGCCGGGAGTAGGATGCTGAATCGGGAAGCAAGGACAGTAAATACAGTAAATACAGAATGCGGCAGGCAGGGTGGGAACGTCAGAACGCGGGCAATGGTATATCATGCATTCTAGGTATATAAAATCCTTTATATTATTCAAGATGTTTCCGACTTGGACGGACGTTTGACAAACTTACCGAAAATAAGCAGGTACCCAAGTCGAAATTTAGAATCTTACGTAAGTTTTACTCCTGTCTATTTGCATCTCTAATGATGCTCCTTTATTGAATTTTATTTGTTAATTTTACCCTTCAGTCTTTATTTAATTATTTGATTTTACTCTTTACTTTGATTTTACTCTTCAGTCTTTATTAAATTATTTAATATTGTCGCATATATTCTATTTGCAGTTAAGTAAATTGCATAATTAATATCTTACTTCTTGAAATGAAAAATAAAGATTTAAGTAAATTGCATAATTAATACCTTACTTCTTGAAATGAAAAATAAAGATTAAATACAGATAAAAAATTTGAAATTATCGAGTATTAAATCATTCTTGAATAAGTCCTTCTTTAAATTTTAATACAGAAAAAACGGCAAAACAAGTAACCATTTCAAAGGAAAACAATTGTTTGTGTAACATTATATCTCGAAATTGGTTCTTTAAATTAGATGCAATGTATAGGATTAATGTAAGACCAAAATTTCGACTCGGCAAAATATTAGATTAATGAAAAAGATTAGATTTATATAATTTGTTCCAATCTATAACATGATGTCTCATAAGTACGATATTATACGTTTATGATATGCAACCTTCTCGTGTTTTCACATATTATTCACTGTCGATTGTACTAAATAAATTATGATTACAAAAAGAAATCTATTTACCATGATTACTCCTGTACGGGGTACAAGTTGAACGAGATAATTCTCAAAGCAAACACGCATTCAACATGAAAAAAAAGAATGAAACATAATTTTCCATAATGAAATACAGATTGCTGTAAAAGTTCGCCGATCTTTCAGTTCAATCGTTATAGGAACTTCTCTCGACATTCACGCATGCCTGTAACTGTATGTTGTTTTAATTAATTACACCATCATAAAGTATCATAACGATCAAAGCACATTTGATCACATCGGGGTCGATGTGTTCTTACTCGACCGCATCCCACGTCCCAACGGAAATTATCGAATCGCGTCCGGGATACGGCTTTGTAAAACGCCAGTCGGCAGGTAGTTTAATTAAAGCTCGCCGCTAATTAACGCCGATTTTACGGCGTCCATATTTCTCGAGACTCGCGTCATGGACGACCGATTTCGAATGGTCTTCAGATGCTTTAAGCTTTATAAAACGAGAACCAGAAATAATATACGATGTATATGCCGCAAATTGCGATCTTCGTTAGTTTTCCTTCCATATCAACGATAAAGTGAAAAAACCCAAATTATTATTATTATACTTATACAATTATTATACTTATTTATACATAATTATTTGTCAAACATATCTTTTGATATCGCGGTTAAAAATACGAGCGTGTACAAGTGTACACAGTTTATCGTCCGTACAAAATTCTTTCCGGAGACAGGATACCATTTGCAAGAAAATATCCGAAGAATATTTGAACATCTCGAAGAATCGGAATTGCATTTGCACAAAAATATATGCGCATACGTATATTCTTCTCTTTATCGCGCGACACGTAATATTGCAGGTGAAATTCTGTTCTGAATTATGTCACAAAATGTGGATTGCTTAAAATGGGCTTAAGATTGCTCTCGCAAATGAATATTAACTACATTCAAATAAAGTCAACGATTTGCTCAAATTCGTGTGTGTTTATAAATTTCGCTGGTTATAATTTAAATCGTAGTGTATATATAGAGAATATATGTCGCGCGGATAATTGTATAGGAATTTAAAAGAAATGTGAAGTGCGAATAACCATCACGGAAACAGGACACAGAAGTGTCGAGTAACGACTGTATCGGCACACCGCGATGATTGTTGATTCACTCCGCACTCTCGAAAATTGTCCGTTACGCTTATACCAGAGAGCATCGTTGATGAACTAAAGACGCGAATATAACGCCAATAGCGGTGACTTTGAGCATAACCGCACAGTTGCCGGCACTGGTCTATGCCGGTCATTTACTGGCCGCGAACCGAACATCGCAAACAACAGGGTATAGCGCTCCGGTGAAACACTTTAATTAACACGCTACGACGATCGTTCAATCTTAATTAACACGCCACGCAGAAAGTTCATGTAGCATTTGCATAAATTAACTCACTCGTGCTCGCGCGTCTCGGATTCTCGAGAGTGGACGATCGCGTTTATGTATTTAGTGTTTGAAAATGTATTCATTGATATTAATAAGAATATATCTGTGGTCAAATTATATTTAATGTTTGGAAGGATAATTCATAATCGATGTCTTCAAGTTAGTAACGTGAGCGACCTTTTTATCTATTATTCTCCATATTAAAATTAATTTTTAGTTAATATTATATTTTTTATCCGCGTTAACATATATATTTTACAAAATTTATGTTGCAAATATCAAGTGAGTTATTCGTTTATTTAAAATTGATGTGACAAACGAAAGCAGGCGGAAAATGGAAGCGCAAATGTCGCTTTTATCTGGAATACGGACAAAATCTAGAACGAGCAAGCGAAACTGAAAGTATCCGGAAGAAACGCTCGCGCACAAAGGACGAAAGCGAAAGGGCTGGAAAAGGTCGGGCGGCTTTCAGATGGAAACCCAAAAAACGTATCCGATTTCAGTTAGACGAGTACGCTGCCGTCGGTCTTTTACGTTCAATTTACCCCCGGCAGAGAGTAAACTTCCGACTGCAACGAGTAAGTTTCCCGTCATGTCGACCAGTTGGAAAAGACGGTTTCCGGTGGTGACCACGAGAGAAAAACGAGTTCTGACCGATCCAAAATTTAGTTAACTTTTGTACCCATTTCGAATTTGACAAACGATCGTCGATTCCATACTTTCTTAAACAGCACTGGTTCATAATATCGATATCAATTGTCATAATTTTTCGACGATGAAACGAATAGGGATGCATATGGTAAAAGAAAGTAGTTAATCGGTCTTCAAGCGTTCTACGCAAATTCGTGTGTGTTTCGCTTCAATTGAAAGATAAATGGTTAGTATTTTCTCCGCCTACTTTAGCATTATTTAAGTACGATTCATCGATTAATTAATTTGTATGTACTTATATACACGAGATTTATATCATGCCAACCACTAGCTATTACTTGATTTACGTACGTAGTATTCGCCGCGAACGGCATTAATTTCCGTATTCAGTTCACATTTATTCGTCATTAAACGTCGCTGCGATTAAAGTCACGCGATTAATTCATCGAGCGATTGCCGTTTGTCCGGCTGCAAACGATCGTCGGTCGCCGCAAAATACCGCCTTTAATTCGCACAACAACACCACCGCATAGTTGATAATGCCGCCAATAAGGTCTCGTTAAATTTGTCTCCGCAATTATGGCGATTAATTTTTAGTGCACGGTCGCGGCGCAGCATCACGCTGGAAATTTCGGGCAAACGCATTGCGGGCGTATAATAAACCGCTGCATTTGACGGCTGGTCGACTAGATCGATCTCTCGCACAAATTTCGATAGAATGTTGAGAGATATCTTCTTCTAACATAAAATATTCCTACTGCTTATATTCAATATTTTCACCCTACGAAGAAACAAAAAATCAGCTTCAAATTTTATTTGTGTAAAAAGGCAGTCGGAAAAATATGAAATCTTGCAAATCTG